AATGACCGCGTTTTCTAAAGCACGTTTTCGAGATAAAATCTCGTTCACATGACATGAAGTTTGCATTATAAGCATACAAGGTCTCGTACACGACAGAAAGCATTGCGAGACTACAAAATGGCGGCGTCCTGTCGCCGAATGTAAACAAACCGTGCGATTGCATAAACGCTTATCTATGGCATGGAACACCAAAATCCGATAAATAATTTTAAAAAATGTGTTTCTCAGGAAGGAGGTTTTCAGGATTTTTTAGAAATATCCGGATTTCCGGATATATCCGAAAGACTTTCATCATTATATGTTTAAAGTGATCACAGGTTTCAATCGAAACCTACACAGGACCAAAAGGGGTCCATTCATCGAGAATCTAAATATACCTCTTCCTGGTGGTCATAAGCCAAAGCATGCTCTTCTGATAAACATGGGTGACCAGTCGTACCAATCCCATCGCGTAACTGAGTGACAAATCTCCAAACATGAACAGCAATATCAGGAAAAGGAGGAAAACCCAAGTAGTTACTTGCTGTCCTTGCTGCCCAATAAGGAAGGGGTAGAGTCAAATGCAATGAAGAGACCCCCAAAACCTCATAAACCCGAGTAACCAACTGAAGGGACTGCATCCATCTTGGAATTCATACCCATTGGTACATGTTTTTTTTTATTATTATTCTTATTACTATTATTATTATTATTATTAAAGTAATTTATAAATATACGAAGATATAACAGCAGTAATGCAAACCACATTCAAAGTCGCAACATAAATTGTTAATAATCACAACACTTTGAATGAGGTGCTTATATACAGTACTTAGATAGAGGGTGCACTGAAGTTGGTAGAGAAATTTGCAAATTAGAATATGCCAAGGGCTTTCGAGTGGGGTATAAAAGACTCAAGCAAAGAGTGAAAACCCTGGAGAACGAGAAATAGCTATAGTGTCAGCGGAAGTATGTTTTGGAATTCTCATATATTCATTGGCTCTAGCTAGTAGATGACATTAGGTTTTGTCAATGTATGAGGCCTTACAGTCTCCACCCGTGTGAATATATACAAGCTAAGAACAAAGAGAAATTGGGAGAAGGTCTTTAGTATGGAAAAAATCTTGGATGTGGGTTTAAAAACTAATCTGAAATCAACTTGGGGGTAGTAACGATGAATATCGCTTTTACTTTGACTTCCTAAAGTTATCATTATCTTAAACTGAAAATGTATTTCCAAACATACTTACCTGTGCTGACACTAATAGCTATTTCTTGATCTTCATCTTTGCCATCTAATGTTGTGTTCGCTTGCTCCGGTCTTTATATACCCCACTCGACTGCCCTCGGCAATTTCTAATTTGCAAAACTTTATGCCGGCCCTCACA